TCCCACCCCAGGGGAGGACATCCATCACACAGTAATCTCATGCGTGGGAAATTAACGTCTCCTACCCCTAACCCTGTAGGAGACGGGACATCCATTTATTCGTCCCTCTCCAAGAAGACTAGAATATCTAACCATTACTTGATGGTATGGAAAGGTAGCATTATTCTTCTCAATTATTTTAAGACCTAGAGTGTTGGTCCGGCCAGGGCTTGAACCCTCAACCTCCCGCACAACAGTCCAGCGCTCTATCCATTGAGCTAACCGGGAGGCGGTTGGCTCAATGGATAGAGCTCAATGGATACCCATCTAATTTGAATATATCAACAAAGTTGAAATGGTAAATTGGCCACCGTTACGATTATAAAAGCTGACGTTTCGAGCGTTAGCCCTTCGTCGGAGCGAAGGGCATTGTCCGGAAGCCTGATGAAATGGTGGAGGAGGAAGCCTTAATTGCAATGGACTAGCATCCCATCCAGGGGGGATTATTAATATTCATAGTGGCTTCATGCTATAGGAAGTGGGATATGCTCTGGCTGAAGGGCCCACTTGGTACAGACATTTAATTACATTACAAACTGTACACGTATGTATGTGCAGTTAGGAATCGACTGCACTTTTAGGTGTGAATAACCTACAGACTCTGAACTTTAGAGTAAAACTGGCAATTTCATTTCAGACTGTCTTCAGTTTTTGGCAATATAACAGTTATCTAAAAGCACAAGAAATCAAAGTGGATCCAGTGCCTTCTACCAAAATTCAGAAACTTGATCTTTGGTTCAAATTATGTTAGATGACTGTGCGTAGCTTAAAATGAATTTTCAACGTAAAATAAATTTTCATCCTAAAACACATTTTCATCTAAAGTATAACACCATGGTTCCTACCTTTGAAAGTGCTGTGAGCCTGAATTGAGAAGTGTTAGATTTTGTAACTGGCATTGACCAAGATTAAGGATCCAACAATGACTCACCATTTTTTTTATGATTTTTATTTAGAACGAGGAATTTTATGTGTGCATCTATGCCCAGAGGAACTGTGATACAATTTTATTTCATCATGAGGGTGGAGTGGAAGTAGGAGATGTTGATAGCAAGGTAAAGCACTTTCCTTAATTTATATGATTCTAATTTCTCCCCATTGTATCTAAAAGTATACATTATCCAACAAACAGCTAATGAGAATATTCAAACTTATCAGGTAGAAGTTGGTATCTTGATCTAGAACCAAATTGTTGTAACTAATTAATGAGGAAATGTGTCGCAGCTACAAGGGAGAACTGACAATCAAATCTTGGGAGTTGAACAGTTGAAATGTTGCATTAAAATGCAAGAGAATTTTCTATCTATGCTTGCCCATATTTTGCTCTCAATGAATAAAATATAATGATCAGCTTTAATTTACAACTGGGTAAAGGTAAATAAGCCAGAAAAAATAATTGTCTCTTATAAAACAAAACCAAGAAGTTTTGTTTCTAGTATGCTCTCTTGTTTTCCTGAAACAAAATAGGAATATTTTGTTCTCTGACCAATGATGAAAGAATGCAAGATTTGTAGGAAAAGTGACCACAAACCATTCAAAAATGTTTGACAAGAAACATTTCAAAGTATTATTAGTTTGAAGCTGCATGTAGCTGTAATCAAGAAGTTTGATTTTATATTATTGCTTTGTTTTCTTATGTTTTTTGCCATGTTTGTTTATGTATGTGTGTTTACATATGTTTGTTTACTCATATTTGGTTACTCATATTTGTTTACTTATGTTATCCCTAGGCTGTTAAACTTGAACTTGGCCTTGAAGACAAAATCACAATTGATTTGGTCGAGAAAAAACTCATGCAGAATGTTCCAAAACAAAAGAAAAAGTGAGCGAATGTTTTCAGCCCCCCCTTAAAATAAATGGTTTGAATCCATGCCAGACTAACAGCTGACAACCCTCGATACATGACTGTTGGGATGCTCAGGTTGTGGAGAGGTTGTTAATTGCTACTACCCAGGGTGCTATCTGGACTTTTTCAATATTAGAGTTGCATTCTTTTTATTCTCACTCGTACCTTATTAAGTTAAGTGTTAGGGAATGCAATGTCCAGAAGAAAAGAAGTACAATTTCTAGAATTAAGATATTGATAATGTTTATCATTATCCAACTGCACTAAACTGGTTACAAATATTGTGTGAATCTTGTTCAAATATCAAATACAGTACTGGCTACAGGAATAGTGTGTGGTTTGGTGTGTAGTACTGCTGATTATTATCCAAGAACACCTAGACGAGTACAAATAATGCTATACATGAGTACAAATATCATGTGGTATTTGTACTCGTCTATTGTAGTACTGGTTAAACAGGTTTTCTCGCATCATGCAAGCGAAGAATTGGATTGTAGTTACGAAAAAAAA